GTACATTGAAACGAGTAAATATTCTGTAATTGTGAAATATTCTGTGGCGTTTTTATCAGACGTAATTACCTTTGTTTTTGAAATGTTCATGTTCAAACCTGCTGAACGTGTATTTTCATCTCATACAGTCATGTTTGGGACTAAACCCTGGGACTTCAGTTCAATGTTATTATTTTTGCACAGCCGTAAATCACAACCAGTGTCATGTTGTGCTCTGAGGACTTTACAAAGCCGTCGATTCTCCAGCACAGATCAGAGAATCAAGCAGTTCACACACAGGAAATGCAATAATAACACACACTGCGGACCCTGAGAGCTACTTTCTCAGGACGATAAAGGCAGAGAGCTACTTTCTCAGGACGATAAAGGCAGAGAGCTACTCCCATACAGTAGGTGGCCCTGGGAAAAATGTGGAGATATATTGGTGCAAATGATCCTGGTGTTGGGCGCTGCAAGAAGGAGTAGCTCTCTTCCTCTTTTGTTGCATAAAAGTAGCTCTCTTCCTCTTTTGTTGCATAAAAGTAGCTCTCTGATTGAAGAAGGTTGTATCGTCTCAGTCCTATCACCTTAACACACGTCGATAGCAGAAGTCAGGTGTTTTTCCTGTTGCCTGCTGCTGTTGTTACTGATGCTTCTTCTGATCATATTCTCTGCTGCTGAAGTGAAATAAACACATCTGTAAATACCTCTGAACCAAGTGACATTATAGTTAGTTTTATCTTTTATTCTGTGTCAATGTTATTAACTTAAATAATAGACTGATGTGTGAGATCTGAGTGACGTTGAAACTTCTTTTGTGTGCGACAAATACATGAACATCTGATCTCCTACAATCTGAAGAAGTCATTTATTAGTGTAAAGCTGGAACGGGTGGAGAGCAACGTGGAAAAGGATGGAGAGCTTTTGGTGGCTCTCGAGTTAAAGGTTGGAAATCCCAATACATATATAGAGTATATATAGAGTATATAGAGTCTTTATAGTCCATTTCTGGGTCAGGGGGGGGGGGGGGGGGGGGGCAATCAGAGCTGCACCTGATTGACAAAGCACCAGTCCCTCTGATCCTCTGCAGGTGGAGGGTCCACAGGAAGATGGCTGCTCCTTCAGCGCAGATGCAGCCTTGATCTTTCAGCAGGGGCTTCAGGCAAAGTGGGGTTAAGTGTTTTGCCCAAGGACACAACGACAGCAGACATCAGTGGGAGCAGGTGACATGGGTAGTGGTCCATCAGTCCATTAGGTCCAGAGACCAATGCTCTGCCAACTGTGAGCCACTGTATATACATGTGTGTGTGTGTGTGTGTGTGTGTGTGTGTGTGTGTGTGTGTGTATACTGTATATAGAGTGTATATATAGTGTGGAGGCAGATGCAGAGTGGTAGTTGGCTGTATAGAGCATATATAGAGTATATAGTGTACATATAGCGTATATAGAGGCAGAGTGTGAGTGGTTGTTTGCTGAGTATAGAGTGTATATAATGTATATATAGTGTATATAAAATTGTCCACTCACCTTTGGCCCTCCGCGGGCGGTTATCCCTCTCTAAGCTCGGGTCCTCTACCAGAGGCCAGGGAGCTTGAGGGTTCTGCGCAGTATCTTTGCTGTTCCTAGCACTGCACATTTCTGGACCGAGATGTCCGAGGTTGTTCCGGGGATCCGCTGTAACCACTCTTCTAGCTTCGGGGTCACTGCCCCGAGTGCACCGATCACCACGGGCACTACTGTCACCTTTACCCTCCAGGCCCTCTCCAGCTCCTCTCTGAGACCTTGGTATTTCTCAAGCTTTTCATGTTCTTTTTTCCGGATGTTACCATCGCTTGGAATTGCCACGTCCACCACCACGGCTGTCCTCTGCCCTTTGTCTACCACCACGATGTCAGGTTGGTTCATTACCATTCGGTCGGTCTGTATCTGGAAGTCCCACAGGATCTTTGCACGCTCATTCTCCACCACCTTTGGAGGAGTTTCCCACTTAGACCTTGGGGTTTCCAGCCCATACTCTGCACAGATGTTTCTGTACACTATGCCAGCCACTTGATTATGGCGTTCCATGTAGGCCTTCCCTGCCAGCATCTTGCACCCTGCAGTTATGTGTTGGATCGTCTCAGGTGCCTCTTTGCACAGCCGACACCTTGGGTCTTGTCTGGTGTGGTATATCTGGGCCTCTATCGCTCTGGTGCTCAGTGCCTGTTCCTGTGCAGCCATGATGAGTGCCTCTGTGCTGTCCTGTTGGCCAGCCCTTTCTAGCCATTGGTAGGACTTCTTGAGATCAGCCACTTCTGTTATGCTCCGGTGGTACATGCCGTGTAGGGGCTTGTTCTCCCATGATGGGCTCTCCTCCAGCACCTCCTCATCTCGCCACTGCCTGAGACATTCACTGAGTACGTCATCCGTTTTGGCCTTCTCCATGATGTAGTTATGGAGTTTGGATGTTTCGTCCTGGACAGTGGCTCTCACACTCACTAGTCCTCGGCCTCCTTCTTTACGGCTTACGTACAGTCTCAGGGTGCTGGATTTGGGATGGAACCCGCCATGCATGGTAAGGAGCTTTCGAGTTTTAACATCCGTGGTCTGAATCTCTTCCTTTGGCCACCTGATTATTCCTGCAGGGTATCTGATCACTGGCAGGGCGTAGCTGTTAATTGCCCGGGCCTTGTTCTTGCCATTGAGCCGGCTTCTTAGGACCTGCCTTACTCGCTGGAGGTATTTGGCAGTTGCCGCTTTCCTCGTCACCTGTTCGAGGTTGCCATTTGCCTGTGGTATACCGAGATACTTGTAACTGTCCTCAACGTCTGCTATTGTTCCCTCTGGGAGTGAGATCCCTTCTGTGTGGACTACCTTGCCTCTCTGAGTCACCATCCTGCTACATTTCTCGAGCCCGAATGACATCCCGATGTCATGGCTGTAGATCCTGGTTGTTTGGATCAGAGAGTCGATGTCTCTCTCGCTCTTGGCGTACAGCTTGATGTCATCCATGTAGAGGAGGACACAAGGACACAACGACAGCAGGCGTATATATATATATATATATATATATACACACATATATATATATATATATATATACGCCGTGTGGGGACAGAGTGTGACCGGTTGTTTGCTGAGTATAGAGTATATATAGAGTATATAGAGTATATATAGTGTATGTATATATAGTGTATATATATATACGGCGTGTGGGGGCAGAGTGTGAGTGGTTGTTTGCTGAGTATAGAGTATATATAGAGTATATATAGAGTATATATAGTGTATATATACAGTATATACGGCGTGTGGGGACAGAGTGTGAGTGGTTGTTTGCTGAGTATAGAGTATATATAGAGTATATAGAGTATATATAGTGTATATATATATACGGCGTGTGGGGGCAGAGTGTGAGTGGTTGTTTGCTGAGTATAGAGTATATATAGAGTATATATAGTGTATATATATATACGGCGTGTGGGGACAGAGTGTGAGTGGTTGTTTGCTGAGTATAGAGTATATATAGAGTATATATAGTGTATATATATATACGGCGTGTGGGGACAGAGTGTGAGTGGTTGTTTGCTGAGTATAGAGTATATATAGAGTATATATAGTGTATATATATATACGGCGTGTGGGGACAGAGTGTGAGTGGTTGTTTGCTGACAGTCAGATCCTGAAGCAGCAGGATCAGGGGCAGCAGTGTTTGCTTTTCACTCTTGAGTCAATGATCCTAATTATATAACGCTCCTTTAGCCATGAGCCGTTAGCAAACATCAAAGAACGGCAGCTAGCAACACCGCAGCGTTCCCACCGTCACGCTGTAGACAGTCTCAAGTAGTCTGGGTTAGTTCGGGTTAGTCTGAGTTAGTCTGGGATAGTCTGGGTTAGTCTGAGTTAGTCTGAATTAGTCTAAGTCAGTCTGGGTTAGTCCGGGTTAGTTTGAGTTAGTCTGAGTAAGTCTGGGTTAGTCTGGATTAGTCTGAGTTAGTCTGAGTTAGTCTGGGTTAGCCCGGGTTAGTCTGAGTTAGTCTGAGTTAGTCTGGGTTGGTCTGGATTAGTTTGAGTTAGTCTGAGTTAGTCTGGGTTAGTCCGGGTTAGTTTGAGTTAGTCTGAGTAAGTCTGGGTTAGTCTGGGCTAGTATGAGTTAGACTGGGTTAGTCTGGGCTAGTATGAGTTAGTCTGAGTTAGTCTGGGCTAGTCTGAGTTCATCTAGGTTAGTTTGAGTTTGTCTGGGCTAGTCTGAGTTAGTCTGGGCAAGTCTGAGTTAGTCTGGGTTAGTCTGAGTTAGTCTGGACTAGTCTGAGTTAGTCTGGGTTAGTCTGAGTTAGTCTGGGTTAGTCTGAGTTAGTCTGGGTTAGTCTACCTCGTTCCTTGATAGGTTCAGTCTCTACTTTTCACATACATTTAAACTTTGGCCTCTGTCTCAGCCCAAAGCGTCAAAAAGTGACTCTCCAATCTGTTGTTGTGCATCGACCACTTTGACTCAGAGAAAAACAATGTGATTCAGTGCTACACAAATATATGGAATTGAATTGACAATGATACACACATACAAATACACACACACACACAAATATACACAGCACACACACACATGCACATACACACACAAATATACACACGCACATACACACACAAATATACACACGCACATACACACACAAATATACACACGCACATACACACACAAATATACACACGCACATACACACACAAATATACACACGCACACACATAGACACACTCACACAAATATACACTCGCACACAAATATACACACGCACACATGCACACACACACACACATGCACACAGACACGCACGCTCACACAAATATACACGCACACACACATACGCACATTAACTCACACACGCAAAACCAGATCTCTCCCCCCTCCGTATCTCCTTCTCCCTCTCTCTCTTTCTCCCCCTCCTCTCTCTCTTTCTCTCTCTCTCCCTCCCTCCTTCCCTCTCTTTCTCTCTCTCCTTCACCCTCCCTCCCTCTCTCTCTCTGATGTTTTTCTTGACACTGTTGCCATGGGGACCTCAGGGCGTTCCCGTCTCGAGCGCTTCCAGCACTTAAAGGGTAGGATCCCGACGTGCGCGCATTTGACGCTGCCGGTCCCTGCGTGGCAACAGGAGCGAGGGATTCCCCCAAACGACGCCGGTCTGTCTCCCCTGGTTCTCCCCTGGTTCTCTCCCCTGGTTCTCTCTCCTGGTTCTCTCCCCCTCTCACACCTCCACATGTCCCGGGGCAGAGCATAGACCTCACCGGGGAAACTTGGAACTATTCTCTGGTTGTTTTTGTGACTTGTTTGACTCACTTTCGTCTCCAGAGCGAGAGGAGGAACATTCATTTATGAGGTGCGATGTGCGGATAACTTGTAACTTTTTTTTCGGGTCTGGAGCTGGACTCTGGGACTCTCTCTGGAGGATTTCTAAAACTTTGTGTCTATTCCAGGCAGCCTCCAAACGATGTCGAGATGGCGTTAGGGAGCACGCTTCTGCCGTCTATCTCCACGTTTGCCAGCTGCCCCACTGTCAAAACAGAATACTTGGGAAGTGCGAATTTAGTGAGTACCCAACGCGCATGTGCAGTTTAATTCATATATGATTTAGTTTATTTTCTATTGTTTATGGTGTTGTCATGAAGTTTGTCTGAGTAAAACATTTTGGGTTAGTTTTTTTATTTTTATTTAATATTTATTAATTTATTAGCTATGGAGACAACAGCTACATTGGACAGATCAGATGCACTTTTATGCTAGTTTTCTACTCTTGCCCACGTGTGAAAGTCAGGGCATAGGATTCATAACAATTCAATGTATTGGTGTATAGCCCAACATCATAACAGAAGTTGTCTTGGAGGACTTTACAAAGTTGTGGATCCCTCAACAACAGATCAGAAAAGCAGTTTGAATGCAGGAAATGCAAGAATAACAAAAAAGTTAGAAACCTCAGAGAGACCCGTACTGAGAGAGGGATCTGCTCCCACGGACGGACAGGTTGTAGATCCAGGACTGAGGCTGTAGATCCAGGACTGAGGCTGTAGACCCAGGACTGAGGCTGTAGACCCAGGACTGAGGTTGTAGACCCAGGACTGAGGTTGTAGATCCAGGACTGAAGCTGCAGACCCAGGACTGAGGCTGTAGACCCAGGACTGAGGCTGTAGACCCAGGACTGAGGCTGTAGATCCAGGACTGAGGCTGTAGACCCAGGATTGAGGCTGTAGATCCAGGACTGAAGCTGTAGACCCAGGACTGAGGCTGTAGACCCAGGACTGAGACTGTAGATCCAGGACTGAGACTGTAGATCCAGGACTGAGGCTGTAGACCCAGGACTGAGGCTGTAGACCCAGGACTGAGGCTGTAGACCCAGGACTGAGGCTGTAGACCCAGGACTGGAGGCTGTAGATCCAGGACTGAGGCTGTAGACCCAGGACTGAGGCTGTAGACCCAGGACTGAGGCTGTAGATCCAGGACTGAGGCTGTAGACCCAGGACTGAGACTGTAGACCCAGGACTGAGGCTGTAGACTCAGGACTGAGGCTGTAGACTCAGGACTGAGACTGTAGACCCAGGACTGAGGCTGTAGACCCAGGACTGAGACTGTAGACCCAGGACTGAGGCTGTAGACCCAGGACTGAGGCTGTAGATCCAGGACTGAGGCTGTAGACCCAGGACTGAGGCTGTAGACCCAGGACTGAGGCTGTAGACCCAGGACTGAGGCTGTAGACCCAGGACTGAGGCTGTAGACCCAGGACTGAGGCTGTAGATCCAGGACTGAGGCTGTAGACTCAGGACTGAGACTGTAGACCCAGGACTGAGGCTGTAGACCCAGGACTGAGGCTGTAGACCCAGGACTGAGGCTGTAGACCCAGGACTGAGGCTGTAGATCCAATCAAACAGACGATTGTGAGGCAGAGAGAAGTTCCACAGAGAAACAAAACAATACTTTGAAATGAGAGTATCCATGTTTATAGCGTATCTGTGAATTCTTTCAATACTTTATTTCTTTATTAACCTAAAAACCGACATTTATTGACAAAGATTGACAGGTATATAGTTATTTATGGCAGGGGTCTCCAACCTTTTCCTCCTGGAGAACCTCTTTCTCGGGTCGAAAAAGATGGACTTCTTTAAAGCTACACTGTGCAATTTTTGGACTCAATTTTATACAATTTATACATTTTAAAGTTTTCGTACGATGATAAATATGAGTGTTATCGGTGAGACCTGGACTTTGATAAGTTACTGTCACTATAAAAAGTAACTAAGTATCATTCGTTGCTATTTTAACTTGTATTTACCATAGTTTTGGGCAAATGAATCTGACTTTTTGCTATTTTGAAGAGGGTTAGGTGGTTCTGCTTAACTCACTGACTGCCAGCCGTTTTTGATGATTTCACTGATTCTCAAGACCCACAGAGTATTATGTGCCAGGACTATGTGGATTATGAAACCAGATTCTGAAAGACTGGACTGTCTACTTTCATCAGCAACAATCCGTTTGTTTTTAGCTGTTTTTGTTGTCCTGTAATCCCTGGTCGAAGAGAGGGAAGTTTGACAGAAATCACCGGTCTCAGTGAGGACTTTACCTGACACTGGACTCACTTTTTTGTCGTTTAAAAGAACCTTCTGAGCCTTAAACTTAGGAAGAGCAAATGAACTTTTTACATTCAGGCTGGAGATCTAACCCGAATATTTACTGAGAGACCAAACGAGCAAAATCACGTTGAAATTATTAAACATGAGGTAATAAAAGCTTAAAATCAAGTGTTTTTTTAATCTTAATTTTAGTTCATTCTGACTGTGTTAAAACCAGATTCTCCAAGACATTTAGTTATTTACAAGAACTGTCACACATTTCTGTGTATTTTTTATTTTCATCATTTTGCTTTGTCCCATTGGAGAATTTCTTGTTTTAAGACTCAGTCAGAATGTGCTTAAATTAAGGCACATTTTGCCAAATTTGAGCAATTTTTGACACATTTTTCATCACTTTTTACAGTGTAGTGGTCGGTGTTCGTGGAGAAACCAGCAGAGACATGTGTGAGCCGTAATACTGTGGATGTAGATATTGTTATTGTCGTAAATACATATAAGCGGCTGGTGCTGTGTGACTTTGGTGGAGCTCTGACTGCCACCCCCCGACCCAGAAATGGATTAAGGGGAAGAACATGGATTAATATGGTCTTTAATATGTCTTTTTTGTCTGTTCTTCTAGAGATGGAAGGAGGAGTTGTCCCTTCTTAAGATTTCCTGTGTGCCAACTGGAACCAGCTGCTCGGACCCAGACCCCCCCAACAGCATGTCCAAGAAGGAGTCCGAGCCAGACCTGGACCTGGACTATGAATTCATCTTGTCTAACTCTCTCCTGCAACAACAGCAGCAGCAGCAGCAGCAGCAGCAGCAGCAGCAGCAGGAGGAGGACTCTCTGGCCCAGGCCCTGTCTCCTTCCCCCAGGCCTTTCTCGTCTCCGTACCCTCTCCCCTCTCCCCAACCCACGGCCACGGAGCTCCTCTACAGCATCCCGGACATCAACGACGTCTCTCCCTCGGGTGGGTTCGTGGCCGAGCTGATGAGGCCGGACCTGGACCCGGCCTACCTCCACCCCACTGCGGGCCTCCACGGCAAGTTTGTGGTGAAGACGGCGATAGACACGGGGGAGTACAGCCAAGGGGTCAGCGTCAGCAAGGCCTGTCCTCCGTCTAACTTTTCGTGTCAGAGAATAAAGCAGGAGAACCCGAATGACTGCACCATGTCTCAGTCCCTGGATCTTCACCTGGCAGCCATGGCGTCTCAGGGCAGGGGCGGCCAGCAGCAGCAGCAGCAGCAGAGGCCGGGGCACTTGGAGCTCCATGGGTTCCCTGGGTCGGTGCGGTCCATGACGGGGGGCCGGTTGTCCTCGTCCTCCTCCTCTCTCTCTCCGGACCACCCTCTGAGCCGCGAGCACCCGGTCCTCAGCCACTCGCAGATACCTCTGTCGGCCGCGGGAGGATACCACCACCACAGCCCCACGCAGGGGTTCCCATCGTACCCCCAGACGTCTGCTCTGCCGTACCAGGGTGAGTCTGCGGGGACAGGGTTAAACATGCGTCGCTAACACTGAGAGTGAACACAGGGATATGAATGTGAAGGCCTCTCTCTGCTCTTTCTCTGGCCTTTCTCTCTTTCTCTCTCTCTGGCCTCTCTCTCTCTGCTCTCTCTCTCCGGTCTCTCTCTCTGGCCTTCCTCTCTCTGGTCTCTCTTTCTCTCTGCTCTCTCTCTGGTCTTTCTGGCCTCTCTCTGTGGTCTCTCTCTCTGGCCTCCCTATTTGGCCTTTATCTCTTGTCTCTCTCTCTCTGGTCTCTCTCTCTCTCTGGCCTTTCTCTCTCTCTGGTCTCTCTCTCTAGTCTCTCTCTGGTCTCTCTCTGGTCTCTCTCTCTCTCTGGCCTTTCTCTCTCTCTGGTCTCTCTCTCTGGCCTTTCTCTCTCTGCTCTCTCTCTCTAGTCTCTCTCTGTCCTCTCTCTCTGGTCTCTCTCTCTCTGGTCTCTCTCTGGCCTCTCTCTCTCTCTGGTCTCTCTCTCTCTGGTCTCTCTCTCTCTGACCTCTTTCTCTCTCTGGTCTCTCTCTCTGACCTCTTTCTCTCTCTGACCTCTCTCTCTCTCTCTGACCTCTTTCTCTCTCTGGTCTCTCTCTCTGACCTCTCTCTGTCTCTGACCTCTCTCTCTCTCTGACCTCTCTCTGTCTCTGACCTCTCTCTCTCTCTGACCTCTTTCTCTCTCTGGTCTCTCTCTCTGACCTCTCTCTGTCTCTGACCTCTCTCTCTCTCTGACCTCTCTCTCTGATCTCTCTCTCTCTCTGGTCTCTCTCTCTGACCTCTCTCTGTCTCTCTGACCCCTCTCTCTCTCTGTATATATGACACACGCACACATAAATAATGACATCATCTCACCACTGCTGTTGTATCCCTAACCCTGCTCTGCTCCTCACACAGACCCGTCCCTGGCTCTGGGAGGTCTCTCAGAGGAACCAAAACCCAAACGTGGCCGTCGCTCCTGGCCCAGGAAGCGAGTGGCCACACACACCTGCGACTACATCGGCTGTGGAAAGACTTACACCAAGAGCTCCCATTTAAAAGCACACCATCGAACGCACACAGGTAAACAACATTCACCAGTCTGAGGCTTCCGGGCAGAAGCTGTAAGATTTTAAGCCATTTTTTCCCCAACACAATAGCCGCACATTGTAGTACAGTGTTGAGCAGGTGGGGGGAGGGTCAGGTGCTGTAGCAGGTGCAGTTAAACAGGTTGATACTGATCCCTGCTCAAACACAAACCTAAGGCAGACTACATTGCCCTCTTTCTAAAGCTGCACGACTGGATCGACCTCTTTTTTTTCAGTTTGCAGAAAGATGGCCCTCGCTGAGACGCGGACATTAAAAAGAGCGATACGTATAAAATGTGGCCAAAAGCGGTACTGCAGCCTCTCCCATTCTCCCTGACTCAGGTTGCCAGATATGCAGACGAATCCAGCTGGGACCATAACAGCTGAATAGACAAGAGTTTTGTCAACAACAAATCTATAACCAACACCTTTTTCACAAAGATAGAAATCCTGGTTTTATTCCTTGTTTTGTCGTTAATGATTTGAGAATCATAACGAGACCTTTTTTAGTTCAGCGGCCACATGGTACTTTACCAGTGAGATTAGCTCCACGCTGTAAGTTCTGGCGCCCACATCACAGACTTTCTGATTGGTGAAACGGTGGAGGGCAGGACATAGAAATGAAAACAGAAACAAGATTTAGGGGCTGGAAAAGTAATTTGGAAACTCTAATATCTCGGCTGACTTTTATCAGTTAAAGAAGTATTGGAAAAGACCTTATTAAAGCCTTTTGACAGATTAGGGCCCTTTAATGATGACAGGTTAGGGCCCTTTAAATGATGAGAATCTTACATATTGCTGACATTTAACGGTTCACGTGTGCTTTGTTTTTCCTCTAAAGGCGAGAAGCCGTACCACTGCGACTGGGAGGGCTGCGGCTGGAAATTTGCACGTTCGGACGAGCTGACCCGGCACTACAGGAAGCACACAGGCCACAGACCGTTCCAGTGTCAGAAGTGTGACCGCGCCTTCTCCCGCTCGGACCACCTGGCTCTGCACATGAAGAGGCACCTATGACATTATGCACGGGCTCAGAGGGAACAAAGTGAAAATAACTCTAACTCTAACGACCAAAAACCAACACTGCCTTTGGGGACCACACTAAACTCGACGGGCTGCGATTCTTCTCAGCTGAAAATAAGATGAAAAAAAAAAACACAGAACGCTCTCATCCAAAAGGGACCAAACTGGAACTTTCTCTGCGGCAAATGACAAAGCTTGGAATCCCAGGTGCCATCAGCGGAGACTGGAAATATCAAAGAAACTGGAACCACAGCAGCCATCTCCAGGGGCCTTCGACAGCACATGCCATTAAAGACACACTGTATTAAATAAATCTATGTATTTATACTGTATATGCGTTACCTGCGAGGCTATACGTCAGGTACAGTAATATTTATAATGACTGGTGCTCAGTGGAAAAGGTACCAAAGAAGAAGACAAAGGGTGAAAGTGCCATAAGTTGAACCCTCGCAGTCAGTAACGACCACAACCTTCAGTGCACTGCATTTGCTGAGTGCGATCCTTTGTATGACATGCCTATTTTTGTATTGAATAACTCTGAACAAAGATTTTTGTTTATAGCCAAATTTGTAATATAAAACCAAAAAACTGTACATTTGTAAAATGCTATTTTTTCTATTACAATATATTAAAAATGTAGATGTATTTTTCCCCCACTCGGAATATGAAGTGCTTTAGGTCTGTGTTAATGTTGTTAAATGTGCAGCGGGTGTCTGCCGCCCTCTGCTGGCCAAACTATTACACTCAGATTTTCGTCAGGTTTTAGTGATTGATTCAGAGGCTGCATCCAGTTTCATAAAAGCTCCTTCCTTATCCTTTAACACGAGCACTCACACAATTATGAAACGACTACAACTCCCAGAGCCGTCATTATGACTGTTTACATTCAAACCAATGGAAATCTGAGAAATATCCGCCGACAAATGTTTAGTTTTTCACTATAATCGTTAAAAGTAGGAACTTTATAATTTTGTTATTTTTCTACTAAATGCTAAAAGTTTTTTGACCGTCTAAATGCTAACAAGCTAACAACCAAACGCTAACGGCTGACGGTGGTGTGTTGCTATAGTAACCAGCACGCTCTTCAAAGATAAAACTACCCACGTTTCAGAAATGTCTTAAAGATAGACAGAAATAAACTAAGACAAAGAAAATCTCTAAGTTATATAAACTAAAAAGGTTCATACACTGAGTAATTACACAAGCCGTCAATTTGACTAACACTAGAAGACCCAGTGTTAAAATGGACCTTTTATGCCACAGGGACCAGTTAGAAACGACTAGAACTCCCAGAGCCGTCATTGTGACTGATTACATTCTGAGAAATTCCCCCGATATGTTTTTAGTTATTTACAAGATATATTAAAAGTAGGGAATTCATAGTTGTTTTTTTTCTTCACTGACTTTTACTAAATGCTAAAAGTTTATTGAAAGGCTAAATGCTAACGGCTGACAGTGGTGTTGCTATAGTAACCAGCGCTCAAGATAAAATTGCTCACATTTCAGAAATAACAAACTCACATTTCAGAAATAAGTTCATTTCTTAAAGATGACAGAAATAATCTACGACACGGAACCCAACAAAGGTTCATACATTGGGTTATTACACTAGCTGTTAATTTGACTGCTCTGGGAGTCCTAGTGTTAAACTGGACGTTTTATGCCACAGGGACCAGTTAGATGTAAATAACTAATGAGCTAACAAACACTTTGCAAACAAGAAGCAGTTTTATTTTTATCACCTCTGGTCTCTCTTTGGTCTATTTCCTCTCTGGCCTTTCTTTTACGCCACAAGGATCATATAACTGTAAGAACTGAGGCTAAATCCACAGGTCAGAGGTCAGACTCAGACTTCTGGACGAGCCGACAGACACTTTATTGTTCAAGAAGCAGTTTTTATTTTTGTTCATCTCAGAAGAAAACCTAAAAAATAATCCAACAAACTTTAATATGAAAGTGAACAAAACCTCTTTTTTTAAACAAAACAAAACCTTTTGATAACAAGCGGTTGGGTTTCCTCATAGAACGATCATAGTGGATATAAAATGGCGTCGCGTTTCTCAATCTTCGTCAAAATTCTGTTGTAAAAGAAAATTTGCCGCCAAGTTTTCATTCTTCTCACACGCGAAGTAGGCCTGGACCACGAGGCCCTCGGGGAACCCCAGGGCTTTTAGCTGCAACAGGAAACACACGAGTGAGAAACACAGACACGTCTATTATCGAAGATCAGGGCTCAGAGGTCAGAGGTCAGAGTGGCTGCAGGTTTTCATTCTAACCGAGCAGGAGCACAACAGACTGCACTCAATTTCCTCTGGTTTTCAGGTTCAGACTGTGTTCAGAGGTGGAGTCTGGCCTCTCTCTCTCTGGCCTCCCCTCCCTCCCTCCCTCCCTCCCTCTCTCCCTCCCTCCCTCCCTCCCTCTGGCCTCCCCCCTCTCTCTCTCCCTCTCTCTCTCTCTCTGCCTTCTCTCTCTCTCCTGCAGCCACACCTGCCCTGTAAGAACCAGTTTGACAGTTATAGATGCCGTTACCCTCTCGATGGCCTCCTTCTCCTGTGGTGTGATCTGGATGTAGTTCTGACCTCCTGCAGACCCCACACGGGCTCCTCCTCCTCCGCCTCCACCTCCGCCTCCTCCGGGTGTGGAGCCCGATCCCTGGTTTGGCTCATTCAACATTTGGATAAATTCTTGTTGGTGATTGCTGATCTCCTACAAAACAACATGAGTAAAACATGAAGTACCGTCATTTCTGGGCTATAAGCCGCTACTTTCTTCTAGAAAGAGAGAGAGACCAGAGAGGAAGAACAGAGAGAGAGGCCATAGAGAGAGAGAAACCAGAAATAAAAGACCAGAGAGAGACCAGAGAGAGAGAGAAACATGAGATGGACTTATCATTTTAACGCTGTTAGGCACTTATTCATTGCCAAAACAGATGAAGGTAAATGAGTCATAGAAGCAAACGTTAAACTCCTCATCATTAAATCCTGTTGTCTTCAGTGAAAACAGTCGTCTCTGCTACATTACAACATGAAAACCTTATATTCAGGCGAGGCATATATGTGGACAACATTGACTGTCTTTGAAAATGTTAGTGTTGCTGCTTATATACAGGTGCACCTTATAGTCCAGATCATACGGTAATTAAAGACACATTAGTCAGAGAATGTCCTTCCAGGATACGCACCTGTAGGAGGTCTGGGTTCTCTCGGCCAATCTCCTGCAGAAGAGCTGGAAGCAGCGAGGCGTTCTCCTGGATCAGCTGTCGCATGGTCTGGAACTGGGGCTGGTTTCGAAGGAACTCCAGAGGATTTCCTGAGGACACAGAAGTGTGAAGGCTGTGAACAGAGCAGCTGTTTCCTGGAGTCTGCACAAGAAGTTACTGCATTTTCAGTTTTGTGTTCATTCATCTTTAACACTAGCACCAGGTTCATGATATTTGCCATTTGCAGTAAAACCACATTGGAATACATGTGCAAAAGGATAGGAACACCCCGATAGCTCTGCACCAATGAGAGCTGTCGGGTGTTCAGACTTCTGAACTCAGTGGGACTTGCCTCCTGCTGCACTGGGGGAGGAGCCGGAGCCGGTGGAGGCCGGAGCAGAGGCCGGAGCAGAGCCCGGAGCAGCAGGGACTGTGTCTCTCACTGATGGGAGAGCAGCCTCTGGAGCCGCCGCCTGCCCCTGGTCCATCCCTGGGATTCCCTGAGGACCAGATGGAAACATTGAACAGAACTGTGGAGAAAAGTGAACCTGAGATTGTTCTTACTGTGAGGAGGTATTCCACCGCTCGGTCTGGATTGTTAAAACTGGCTCTTAAAGCTGCGACCACCTGCTCCCGCTCATAGCCCATCAGCATCATCTCGGTCACCATGGCGTCGTACGACGACCCCGTCACTACAGGAAGAACATCACGCACGGTTTAGTCCTCGCTCTGCAGGAGACTCTTCTTCTTTTAAAAAAACAGTTTCATAAATAAAATAAAGTCTCTCACCCAAAGAGGAAACGGCTTCATTTATTAGGTTTGCGTTCGCAGAGTCGCTGCTGCTGCTGCGGAGACAGACACATGAGTACACACACACACACACACACACACACACACACACACACACACAGACACAGACACAGACACACACACACACAGACACTACACACACACACACACAGACACACAAAGACACCACACTAGGGCTGAAACAACTAATCGATTAATCGACGACTAATCGATTATTGAAATAGTCGACAACTATTTTAGTAATCGATTAATCGTTTTCTGGTTCACACAAACTCAAACAGAGCAAAAATTACATGAAAATGTAGTATTTTTGATTAAAACCGACTTTGTTTTTTATAATTTCATGAATATCTGTGTCTCATCCAATCAGAGCAGAATTAGCACAAAGAGCCTGTTAAACATTTACTTTAAGTTTACGCCGTCAATACGTCCTCGAGTGTTGCCACTTTAGCTTTTTGTGTAGAAAAAAAACATTTTTTCTACACAATTCACAGCCAAGTGATTACTCGATTAATCGTAAAAATAATCGATAGATTAATCGATTACAAAATAATCGTTAGTTGCAGCTCTACACCACACACACACATATATTCACAAACACACAGACCACAGACACACAAACACACACATAAAGACACATTCACAAACACACACACACACAGACCACAGACACATTCACAAACTCACACATACACCACACAAACACATATATACCACAGACATGAGTCCACACACACACACACACACACACACACACACACACACACACACACACACACACACACACACACACACACACACACACACAGACCTTGCAGACGTAGAAGTGGTGTCTCCAGAAGAAGGAGGTTTCTCTGCTGACTGTGTGTCGTCAGGAGGACTGTCTGAGGAGGAGGAGGAGGAGGCAGGAGGCGCCGCAACAGGAGCAGCCTCTGAAGCTTCTGCTGCAGGAGCTGCTGCAGGAGCTGCTGTAGACGACTCAGCAGCTGCGGGGGCTGCCTTTGGCTGAGAACACAACAGACACACTGTAGTACACAACAACAAACAAACACACACACACACTCAGTCTCACCTTGGTCACCATGATCACCACAAAGTTCTTCTCATCGATCTTACAGTCGCTCAGAGCCATGTCGTCTGTGAGGATTTTCCCTGAAGGTAAAGTGAATAAAACACATTCAAGGAGGAACCATCAACACAAACACCATGAGTCCAGGATCAATGACACATAAACACACACCATGTGAATCATCTGCTAAAAGTCAGTTCAAACATGTGTCAGTCATACCGGCATAAATCAACTTCTGCCCAGCGACCGGGAAGTCCTTCCCTTTTTCTTGTTCAATCTTTTCCTTTAAGGCTTTCACCTGCAGAAAAACAACAATATTTATAAACGTTTCCTCAGAGATAAAGCTGCTGATCCTCAGAGGGGAAGGTCCACATAACTCATCGCTCTGACACACTCACAGTTAGCAACACTCGGATCCACAACACAACTAACTATTGCTGCGAGTGTGGGTCTAATGATCCAGAACACTAATATTCTACAACATTCATGGACATTTATCAACATTTATGGTCTCTCCCTATGGTCCAATACCATGTGTTCCATATTCTCCGTGTGTGATCTGTTTGATTCTCTGATCTGTTGTTGGAGAAATCAAAGGGAACTACTGTTGTGATTTAGGGCGATACAAGAATACATTGAATTGAAAGTGAAATCCAGAGTCTGAGTGAGGCGTAAACACAGACTCAGACCATGATCCACAGTCTGAGGTCAGGCCTTTTCTCCAAACACTGACAACACAAACTTGAAGCTAACATCAGCGTGGTCCAGGACAACCCTCTGCCACAGTTTAAGCTAACGTCAACACACAATAACACACACACTGACACACACTGACACTGACACACACTGACACACACACTGACACACACACACTGACACACACACACTGACACACACTGACACACACACTGACACACTGAACACACTGACACACACACACTGACACACACACTGACACACACACACTGACACACACACACTGACACACACTGACACACACACACTGACACACACACTGACACACACACTGACACACACACTGACACACAGACACTGACACACACACTGACACACACACACTGACACACACACTGACACACACACTGACACACACACTGACACACACACTGACACACAGACACTGACACACTGACACACACACTGACACACACACTGACACACACACTGACACACACACTGACACACACACTGACACACACACACTGACACACACACACTGACACACACACTGACACACACACACACTGACACACACACTGACACACAACACTGACACACACACACACTGACACACTGACACACACACTGACACACACACTGACACTGACACACACACACTGACACACACACTGACACACACACACTGACACACACACTGACACACAGACACACAGACACTGACACACACTGACACACACACACTGACACACACACTGACACACACACACTGACACACACACACTGACACACACTGACACACACACACTGACACACACACTGACACACACACTGACACACACACTGACACACAGACACTGACACACACACTGACACACACACACTGACACACACACTGACACACACACTGACACACACACTGACACACACACACTGACACACAGACACTGACACACTGACACACACACTGACACACACACTGACACACACACTGACACACACACTGACACACACACTGACACACACACACTGACACACACACACTGACACACACACTGACACACACACTGACATACACACTGAGACACACACACTGACACACACACTGACACACACACTGACAAACACACTGACACACACACTGACACACACACACTGACACACACACACTGACACACACACTGACACACACTGACACTGACACACTGACACACACACTGACACACAGACACTGACACACACACTGACACACACACACTGACACACACACACTGACACACACACTGACACACACACACACTGACACACACACTGACACACAGACACTGACACACACACTGACACACACACTGACACACACACTGACACTGACACACACACACTGACACACACACTGACACACACACTGACACACACACTGACACACAGACACACAGACACTGACACACACTGACACACACACTGACACACACACTGACACACACACTGACACACACACACACTGACACACACACACACTGACACACACACTGACACACACACTGACACACACACTGACACACACACTGACACACACACACACACACCACACACTGACACACACTGACACACACACTGACACACACACACTGACACACACACTGACACACACACACTGACACACACACACACTGACACACACACTGACACACACACACTGACACACACACACACTGACACACACACTGACACACACACACTGACACTGACACACACACTGACACACACACTGACACTGACACACACACTGACACACACACACTGACACACACACACACAGACACACACACACTGACACACACACACACACTGACACACACACTGACACACACACACTGACACACACACACTGACACACACACCGACACACACACACTGACACACACACTGACACACACACACTGACACACACACTGACACACACACTGACACACACGACACACACACTGACACACACACTGACACACACACGACACACACACACTGACACACACACACATGACACACACACACTGACACACACACACACACTGACACACACACACTGACACACACACACTGACACACACAGACACACACATGCACACACACACACTGACACACACACACTGACACACACACACATGACACACACACACACTGACACACACACACTGACACACACACGACACACACACATGACACACACACACTGACACACACACACTGACACACACACACTGACACACACACACT